ACTCTCACACACACACACACACACTCACACACTCACACACTCACACACACACACAAATCATCTCTAATAAAAGCTGTTGTTATCTGACTGTGTGTGTGAGATGCATGAATGATCCAGTATTAAAATGAGTCTGGTAGAAGCTCTGCTCATGCATACACACACTCATCAGATGAGACACACAGCAGTGGACGCTGCTTCTTATTTCCTGCAGAGAAAATGACTCTGGCATGTTTTAAAATGAACTAGCTCTTTGTTACACAATGCAGAGAAATATGAATTAAATTTCACTCGCGGCCAGTATTATCATGGTGTATTATTATCAGCGTGGGTCTGATAAGACTCTAATTGCCAATATCTTCAGGGCTGGTTTCTTACATTTTAAACGGTAAACTCTTTTTCTATGCCTGGTTAAAAAAGTACTAAACAGTTATTCATCTTTTCAACTGTACATTTACAATTGTTATTATTACACCACGCTTGAGAATACTTGATTCTGATTGGTCAGTTATAGTACACAATGGAGAGAAATATGAATAAAATATCACTATCGGCCAGTATTATCATATTGTTTTGTTATCAGCATGGGTCTGATTAGACTCAAATTGCCAATATCATCAGGTCGAGTTTCTTACATTTCAAACAGTATGCCTGGTTAAAAAGTACAAAACAGTCATCCATCTTTTCAACTATATATTACAATTGTTATTATTACACCTGTTATTGTTAACTAAAACTACAACTAATACAAATCATTTTTGGTGATTAAAATAAATCTGAAATAAAATATATTAAAAATCTAATATATATATATATATATATTAAAAATCTTAGAAATGTTGCCTCAGCAATCTGAATTTTTTTTTAGAAATATAAAAAAAAATAAATTATAAAAGCAAATCACAAAATGACTAAAACTGAAAAACAAAAATAAACAAATAAAGCAAAACATTAATAAATGAATAAATTCAGAATATTAATAAACACTATAATAGTACATATAGTACATAAATAATTTTTTTAAATAATACTGCGCCATCTGCGTTTATTTTTTTTTACCAATTAAAGACTGGTTGACTGTGCATTGTCCCTTTAATGTTATATACAGTAATAATAATAATAATAATAATATTTTGCAAGATTGTGCATCCCTGATAGAAGCAGACAGACCCCACACGTACCTTCTTGGAGGTGTTGATGCAGTTGATGTAGTCTTTGGCCAGCTGTGAGCAGTGCAGCGTCTGCTGTGGGTTCAGTCTGTAGCAGCTCAACACCTGCGACTGCAGCTCAGGGCAGACGGGACTCACGTGACGAGGCCTGAGCGTCACACACACACACACACACACACACACACACAGAGGCTTGTGGGAGAATCACAATGAAGACATTCATATTAAAAAGTGTTATGCCTCGCTACTCTAATCAACTAAAACAGGATCACCTTCAAACTGTGTTAAACACCAGCTCAAGAACACAATACAAATCACAGGTGCAAAGACTGATAGACACTAAACTAAGAACTAGAGGGAAAAAAGTCATAGTCCTGCCACCTAGTGGCCTAAAGAGGAATTTGCATTTTTTTTTTTTTTTTTTTTCAAATTTTTTTTTTCTTACAAAAAGAGCATGAAGGTCCTTCAGAGATGAAGTCTGGCATTGATATCGAGTAGACATGTCTGTGTCTCAATGCTCTTTTACATAAAAAAAAAAAGAGTCATTAAAGGTCATTAAATGTTATCTATCTAGTCAAACCAAGGTTATAATAGTTAAGTAAAATGAAAACTAAAAACATAAAAAATAAAACCAAATAAAATATACATTAACAAAAATATAATATAATAAATAAAACATTTTCTTATTTTTACTTTTAAATACTATTTTATAGTATAAATATGAAAAACTTTTTTTTTTATACTTTATAAAAACCATTTAATTTTAGCTATAGTTGCCAAGGCAAAGTTTCTCATTTTCATGTATTTTTAAATTTATGTACTGAAGTAACTAAATCGAAAACTAAAATAAAAAATGATATAGACTAATAAAAATACTAATAAAATTAATAAACCTACTAAAAAACGAATACAAAAAACAAAAACACTTAACAAAATTAATAAAAATTTAAAACAAAAACTAAAAATATGAAAATAATGAATTCAATTTAAAATATTTTAAAAACTATAATAGTATGATACTGAAATAAGAGCAACATCTGTACTCACTTAACAGTGGCCTCTGCTTTAAGCGCCTCCTGCTCGTACATGTGTGCAGTCTGTTGATAATATTCAGTGTTCTGCAGAAACAGACACAAAGAGTCGGACTTCATTCAAGTTCAGCTGCATTCATTCAGAAAATACACAAGACAGTTCAAATATTTCTGAAATAACGTATTTGTTTTCCTGCAGACTCTCCGTTTACAATGAGCAAATGTTTACAGTCCCAAGAACCAGAAGCATGTTCTGTCACAGTTATCACGCAAATCCAAAGGAGACATCACAATGTATTCTTGCTTTGGTTCAATAGTGATTTTTTTCTCCATCTCCTGCTTCTGTTAACTTCTCTAAACCAATCCCACAATGCAATAAACGCTCAGAAATGTGTATGGAGGGACATTAAATTAAATTAAAGCAGCGTCATTATTTTCTAGCTCTGTCAGCACATCTCTCAGCCCGCGGACACCGAGTGAGACGTCGTAATGTTTTATTTGGTGAGTTTTATGGGCATTTACACTGCAATTACTACAATTACAAAACACAGCAGTGCAGAACATTACATTCACAGCTTCCCATTCATGAGACACCATCACATCTCACTCAATGCATCCGCCTCAGATAAACTTTGATCTGCTACTCACATCTGCTAAAATAATACTAGTATGATGGACCACAAGATGTGCTTGCTTTTCTTAAATAAACACGGCTGATATAAACTAACATTCACAACACAAAACTGCATTAGATTTCATTGAAACCAAATTGCAAAATGGTTCATTCAAAAACAATGCTGTCAAAGTTAACTAAAACTATTGAAACTACTGACGGGTAATTGAAATAAAGATGAAAATAAAATATAAATATTAGACGAAAAACTAAAGCTAAAAAAAAACTTGAGTTGAAGTACTAAAATGACTAAAAACTGAAATAAAAATTTTTTTTTCTGTAGAAATATTATAGAAAATAAAACTAATAAAAATAAAAGCACAAAACAAAATTACTAAAACTTAAACTAAAATGAAAATATAAAAATACAAACGGATTCAAAAACATGAATTAACAGTATCTAAATAATACTAAATTATCACTGCTCAGAAATTAAGAAACCAGGGTTGTCATGGTTAACTAAAACTAAATTACTTTTGTTATAATTTGAAATAAAATAAATGTTAACTGAAACGGAATAAAACATAAATTCTATTTTATTTATTTTTTTACTTTATTTCAGCTAGCTGTCATGTTTATAATTGTTATTTAGATGTACGGGAATAACTAAAAAAAAAAATTACTAAAACTTAAACTAAAATGAAAATATAAAAATACAAACGGATTCAAAAACATGAATTAACAGTATCTAAATAATACTAAATTATCACTGCTCAGAAATTAAGAAACCAGGGTTGTCATGGTTAACTAAAACTAAATTACTTTTGTTATAATTTGAAATAAAATAAATGTTAACTGAAACTGAATAAAACATAAATTCTATTTTATTTATTTTTTTACTTTATTTCAGCTAGCTGTTACGTTTATAATTGTTATTTAGATGTACGGGAATAACTAAAAAAAACAAAAAAAAAACACGATATACAAATATTAGAGAAATCCTAATAAAAATGATAAAAACACCCAACAAAATTAACTGGACTGAACTGAAAATAAAAAATAAAAAAAAACTGAAAATGGAACTAAAAATACACAAAAATATAAAAAGAAAAGCTAATTCAAAATATTAATTAATAGTGTACAAATAACACTAAACTAACACAGTTCAGAAATGGGAGAAGTCGTCTTAAAGGTACAGTATCAAAGATTTAATAGTTAGAGGTGAAAATAGTCATGAAAACCTAAATTATGACTGTTTTTGGTGCAAGAAACCTTGACTGACATTATGAATGGACTTCAGGGAAACTAATCAATGCTGCAGAAGTGTGAAATACGGGCCGATGAGTTTTATCAGTGCAATATCTGCTCGTTCCTTCAGCTCTGAGCTGTTAAATCCAGCAAGACACAAAAACAATACGCTGTAAGTGATTATAATCTATCAGTGTAATTACCATCTCACAGTCTGTATCATCACACAGCTGGAGTAATTAGACTCCGTTATCTTATTAAATCTACAATTACCTGATGCAAGAGAAACAAGAGCGACAAAAAAAGCATCAGAAATCAGTCTGAGAGACAAGTGCGAGTGATCATTAACAGAACTGTGACTTTTAGGTGAACTGTCTCTTTAAGGAGTTTTGTTCAAATCACTAACTAGTAATAATGAATGTCTTATCAAACACCTCTAATAAGAGACGTGAAGTTTCACAGTTTGCTGCCACTGAGATCCCATGATTCCTCTCTCAGAGAAGTAAGAGTCTAATGGGATAAACAGCAAATAAGCTCAGATAATGTTGTAGAGATAACGTTTCTCGCCCGCTTTCTCTCGCAATCGCTCCATCTTTTGATTCTCGGCTCGTTCTCTCGTTTCTCGCTTCATTAATACCTGATTCTCAGCCCTACTGAAGCGTCTCTGTATGTTTTCATCTCTGTCTTTCTGCTCTGATCTGTTTTTCTGTGTGAGGCATTACCTCAGTAAAAGTGAAGGACGCTCACATCTGTATATTGTTTATGTCTCTTTGATGAAGCACACTGACAGCACAGCTGGAACAGATGTGTTCGGGTGGGAACTTGTCACTTAAACACATGCATAAACTCTCTCAAATTCATTTAAAGGTGGAACAGAACAAAAACCATGTTGTGAACATCGTTTACCGTGCTTGTTAAAGTTTCAGTACTGATTTAGAGGTATTTTGTTAAACTTTTTACAACCATTTAGCATCGTTTCATTAACATTCTTTCAACATTTTTTCAGCAATGAAACAACACCTGACATTATTTCACGCACATTTCAGCATTGAAGGTCGGTCATACACCAGCTGGGCTCAAATAGGCCGCCAACTCGCCTGTCAATCAACCACTGAAAAATGATATTTACATTGCTTTAAAAACTTTTAAAGTGAAATGCATGGAAGCCTTTTTCTGCCACTGAATAAAAATAAAACAAGGTAATTATGACTTTAATTATGACAGACTTTTTCTCACAATTGAGTTGATATCTCACAATTCTGACTTCTTTTCTCTGAATTGTGAGATATATACTCACAATTGCGAGTTATAAAGTCCAATTCAGAGGAATTCATTTCCTTACGATTGCAAGTTTGTCTCGCAATTCTGACTTTGTAACTTGCAAATGCGAATTACTATCATGCAATTCTAAGAAAAAAATTCAGAATGAGATAAAAAGTCGCAATTACCTTGTTTAATTTTTTATTCAGTGGCAGAAATGGCCTTTCATATATTTCCACCTCAAAATAAAAAAAATAGTGACTTTTTAAGTTTTTTTAAGTGACTTTTTAGTTTACATTTCAACTTTTTATCTTACCTTTTTAACTCTTTGCAAGTTTATATCTTGCAATGAGTTTATATGACATGACATGCGGAGTCCCACAAGGCTCAATTCTTGCACCGCACTTGTTTAGCCTGTATATGCTCCCACCTCTTAAATAAATTCTTAAATCATTTTCAAAGTTTTAAATTCCTTGTTTTATTGTTGTGATTATTATATATATTTTTTCATTTCTTTTATGTAAAGCACTTTGAATTACCATTGTGTATGAAATGTGCTATATAAATAAACTTGCCTTGCCTATATCTCGCAATTCTGAATTGCAAGAAAAAAGTCTTACTTGTGAGACATAAACTCACAATTGTAAGATGCTTGTAAGATACATTGCAGCAATTGGAAATGAAATGTCCGGTGCGCTAAAAGGTTAATGCTCTATTGCATTTGAAAATGATGTATCGCCTACACTAACGCTGACCAACAGTGTTAAGAGCAAATGAAAGATAAAACACACTTGCTAAAGCAATCATGCCATTTAATCATGCTTCTACAAGTCTTTGAGCTCTTTTAATTTGACTCGTGTTTCACAGGATCTCGTACCCGATCACATTGCATTGCAAACACAATGCTGTACCAAATGCGCTACCGAGCAAGCTTACTGCATTAGAAAAGCAATACATATGGTGCTGGTTATGTGATGCAAACATCAAAATATATTAGTTTACAAATCATGCATCATGGTAAAAGTGTTTTGAGGTTATAACATACAACATAACAGAGTGGTGCATGCAACCACGCAAAAATAAGTCTTTACTGATGCAAAATCTGCCTCTGTAGTCATGATTCCTGCTACAAAGGAATAAAAGTCATTGGTGTTTTACTGCCTCTAGGCTTGATTTCAGCAGGAAACTGCAGTGAATTGTACTTATAGGAACAATTGGTGTAGAAACAACAGAACTCAGAAATTGCTAGTAAATTTCATAATTAGCTACATAGAAACAGCAAGGAACACATTAAACTAAACATGAAATCTTGAAACAGAAAGACTGAAAAAATATTTTCTTGTAAAACGTACTGATAATCTTTTATATTTACAACTTTGAAAAAAATTTTTTTTACAGTGTCTTTTACTTTGTTTGTTACATGCCACATTAGAGGAAAATACCAGAAAATAAGTAAAGGACACATTTAATGTGATGTAGATTTGTGATTCTGACTGTATGAGTAATAATGAAGAAGAATGAAGGAAAGTACACCTGTGTGCCTAGTTAAGTCCTTTTAGATTGGAGCAGATATCAGTCTGATCGGTCCGTCAGAGCTTCATCTGATAACATGAGCGGATGAGTCTGATTTATTCTTGCAAAAGCTTGACAGAGTGAAAAGCACAAACCCTTTTTAAGATGAAGGACATGAATATTACATTACAGTGTGAAGAGTGACGATAGACATGCAGAAGAGAAAGCCAGTGGGATCAGGATCTTTGTTCCTCTGTGTGTGTGTGTGTGTGTGTGTGTGTGTGTGTGTGATGCCTTTGTGTCACGCTCAGGATTTCTCTCTGAGAGCTTAACCAAAGCGTTTCAGATTAGTGTGTGTAGGCTGAATCTTAAAAATGTCATTTAAAGCATCACACACACAGTCTGCAGCAGTATAACGCTCACATGAGAGACGAGAGACGATTAAAGGTCTCACCTCAGTAGAGCAGGAGACAGAGAAAGAGAAAAGACTCAGGGATGGAGGAGTGTGTATTTGTGTAAGCAGAGCATCACATCCACTGTGTGTGTGCGTGTGTGTGTGTGTGTGTGCGTTTAAAACTAATGTACATTAGGATCACCAAATGTAATTGCACAAATAATGACTGTTTTCAGACAGGTTTTCTTGTACCCGTCTTTGTCTGCCATGGGTTGACAAACAGATAATCCTGCCTCAAATTCACTCCATTGATTGAGTCAGAATTTGCCATGTTGAGCCGGTCAATGAAGTTTGTTTGGCTCACTCTTCATGCCAAAATCAACAAGAAAATAGATTTTGCAAAAAGAAATGAAACCTGTTTTTAGAACCATTAAGATGATTTTCTTCGCAATGTTACATTATTTTTACGATTAATATAATAATAATTACGATTAATATAATATTTTATTTATTTTTTTTCTAATTTTTGTGGGTCATGAATATGATGTCATAATACAGAAACTCTTAACTGTAATAAAAAGCCTTCTTAATATAATATAATATAACATAACATAATATAATACTTTTAATTTATTAGTTTATTTATTTATTAAATTTTGAGGTGACATATGACCGGGCATGTTTTCATGAATGTTTGGGGGTCTTTAAATTTCACAAAAAATATTGTCACAATGCAAAAAAATCTTAATGGTCATAAATGCAGGCTTTCATAATATAATATACATTTTGTTCATTTATTTAACTTCGAGGTGAAATGTGACTATATGTTTTGTGTTTTATGCAATGAGATAAAGAGAACATATTGAGCGTCTTTATGCTAAAATTATGAAAGCACTACAGAGCAGTGTGTGTATTTGTGTGTAATTATTGTTTAGAGACACACACACACAGCTAAAGCATAACTAAGTCTGTTTAGTCTCTGAGCGAGAGCAGCTGTATTGTTCTGCACAAACCGCATGAATGATGATCCATCTACAGCATCAGCTCTACTTCAGCTATAATTAGCTAATATGAAATATGTTTGAGAAGCTGATGTTGCTGTTGTGTGACACACAGTATACTGCATTTAACACAACATTTTGCCAAATTACCTAAAAGATCCCATAATATTTATTTATACTTTGTCACAACACAGCTCATTTAAAGTTGAAAATAAACTTGTGAAGACAAAAATGGTGATTCAAAATTGTGCAAAACTTCCAGTTTCCACTTAAAGCACTTGACTTATACACTTTCCTTTGTACAGTCATATTTAACTTCAAATCTTGATGTTAATCAGAAAGACAGCCCATGAACATGTTATGCACCAACTTCTGTTCATGTAGGTTTGTATTCACAGGAATTTTGATCCGTTTACAGTTCATTTTATTTCTAAACTTTACACAACTTTGTGACGTTGACAACCCAAGGTTCAAAGGTTGCATTTGTCTTGAACATTCGAACATTTGCAACCTTTGAACATACAATCTCTTCAAACACTACTCAAATTCATTTCATTGTGACTGCAGCGTTCCTGTAGCTCAACTAACTTAGTAGGTCTTGGGTTCAATTCCCAGGGAAAGCAAGAATGGATATAAATATAAACATGTACCTTGAATGAAATGTAAATCACTTTGGTTAAAAATGTCTGCCAAATGCATAAACTTAAATTTAAAATATAAACTATGTGATGCCTTGTTTGCTCAGACAGTTCAATATAAATATGTTTAATTTGAAAAAAGTTGTATAAAGTTTGAAAATAAAATTAACAGCACCAGACTGATTTCTGGACATCCAAAAGCATTTCTGATCAATCAGAGTCCTTTCACAGCGAGTGGACAGACACTGCAGGCCATCAGATGCTTTTAATCAATTCATTTTTACAGCATTGAATAAATGTGAGTTTTTTATAGCAACGGGCCTACTATTTGTAGTGGTTTATAAGATCATATTTTCACATTTCTTTTGATGCGAAGTAAATATATTCTTAGTTTCTATGTTTTTATAATGCATGTTTTATTTCAGTTCTCATTTATTTCTTTTTCTGTTGCAGTGATGAAACGGTTTGTGTTCTGCTGCACGTCAAATAAACACAAGCTGAAACTCTCTCTCGCTTTCAATCCTCAGGCGGTTAATAAATGATCTAAAACAACTTTCAAAAGCATAAAATCACACATTTGGATTCCACCCACAGTCCATCTCTCCGTATCGGTCACACACACACACACACACACACACACACACACACACACACACAGACACAGACACAGACACAGACACAATACTCACACCACACACACACATTTAAGTGGTGTATCGCTCATCAGAAGAAGCATAAAGATGTTGATACGTGACACGAGAGCACCGCATAATCATCATGACCTCAATGCTATCGCATGTATGCAAACAGATGTATTTATAAATGCAGACACACCAACTATACTTAATATGACTGTGAACACATCAGAGAAAACAAACCATCTTTAGCCTGAAGCACTATAATAAAAGCACAAATATAATAAAACCTGTTAAAACTGACATGTTTTATTTCTAGCAATGAAAAAAGGTTCATAAATGGGCCAAATTCAGGCTTCAGATCTAAAAGTGGTTTGCGAGGAAGCGTGTTTGTGTTTGTGCATCACACACCTTCTTCTCCATCAGTTGTAGTTGCTCCTTGTAAAACTGTGCCAGATGTTTAAGTTCATCTTCTTTCTTCCTCAGCTGTCGGGCCTGATAGAGACACAGAATAACCTGCTCAACGTCACGTGTTCATTTGCAATTCGACAAAACTCTTGATGGCTTTCAAACATGGTAGATGTAGAGGAGCAGCACACGATGAAGATCTGATGTACCTGATATATGATGGAAACTGGCAGTTTAAGCAGCCATCCACAACAGATGCAAGAGGACAGAAACACCGTCACATCATCACAGACTCACTGAATAATGCTGAGATTAGCCATCGAGAAATGAGCTTTCTGTGATGATGACAGACTTAACGAAGCACAATAACGCAGAAAACAAAGTATGATAGGACAGAATGAAAAGACACACTTCAGATGCATGTATCAGATGATACACATTCAACCAGTGTTTGTGTGTGTTTTGTCACATCAATAACACAAATATGATTGGAGAAATAAATATGACTACAAACATTTGGAATACTTACAGTAGCAATAACACACACACACACACACTCACACACTCTCACACTCTCACACTCTCACTCTCACTCTCACACACACACACTCTCTCTCTCTCTCACACACACACACCCACACTCACTCACACACAC